AGTAAATACTAAATATTACACATTATTGTGCAGCACATAAGATCAACAGAACACAGTGTGCTTTGAGGTAGGAGCCAAAAAGGGTGTAGTTTGTGGGTGTGATCACCCGTGTGTACACCTGTGAGCATGGACGCGCTTGTTTTTTTAAAAGGTTCCTTCATGTAATGATCTGCTAGAGGGTGTGGGGGGGCCACAGCCCCGTCCTCCAGGGCATGAAGCAGGTATGGAGGAGATCAAAACTCCAGACATCCAGAGGCCCCCAGAACACAAGAGACCAAGGAAGACCAACAGAGGGGCAGCCGCGCCACTGTTCCAGAAAGAGCTGAGGAGAGTCCCAGATGAGGGCTCACTCAGCAGCCGCGGAGCAGAAGCCAGGGGGAGTTGCAGTGACGCGCCCGTGAGCTCCGCCGGCAGCCAGCTGTCGCCTGAGTGACCGAGCCCCAGGCCGAGAGGCCGGGGGCACCCCACCTCCGAAGTGGCCGAGCGAGCCCCAGGCTCCAGGCCCCGATAAGCGGCCGCCAAGGAGTGAGCCGGTGTGTACCTGGACGCCCATCCCCGGACACAAAGAACCACCAACGCACCGATGTCTGAGGGAGTCCGCCACTGGCAGGGGAAGTGGTGGTAGGGGGAGATAGGCCTCCATACCTTGGAGGGCCTAAGATGTCCCCAGAGAGGTGGCGTCTGACACCCAACCTGCATCGTCATCAGAAGGTTGGCTCTCAGCGCCACCTTTGGTTATGCTTGTCATCACGGAGAACGGCGGCTGACAGCAACGTCTCACCGGCCGCCGCCTCCTGATGAGTGAGCAGGCGAGACTCACCTGGAAGAACTTGTCCATCCTCAGCCGGTCGATGCCGGTCCACTCCCGCTTCATCGTCTGCAGGAAGCTCCGCAGGTACGACAGCTCTGCAGGACACACCACCATCATCATCATCATCATCTAGTTTAAAGCAACAGAGCAGTGTGCGTGCTTACAGGTGTGTGGGCGTGTACAGGAGCGTGTGGGCGAGTACAGGAGCGTGCGGGCGTGTACAAGAGCGTGTGCGGGTGTACAGGAGCGTGTGGGCGAGTACAGGAGCGTGTGCACTCACGCTGCTGGGTGGAGGTGAAGCTGTGGATCAGGGTGGAGATCTTCCTGGAGAGTTCCTCCTGAAACACAGCAGAACTTTACAACCTTACAGGAGCTCATAGCATCATGTGACCCTGAGGAGGGGGCGGGGTTACCTGCAGCAGAGGCTTGTCCTGCATCCACAGACAGTAGAAGAGACCCTTCCACAGTTTGAGCAGCTCCTCACCTGAGAACTCACCTGGACACAGACACACATCCAGCTGTAGACACATCTGTGTGTACACCAACTCTCTCCCCCCCCAGCTACAACCAATCAGCATTCAGCATGTTTATGTTCTGTGTTGTTGTGTGAATATTGCACACCTGTACCTGCATCTCTCTCTCACACTCACTCTCACACTCACACACACACACACTCTCTCTCACATCACACACACACACACTCTCTCTCACTCACCACACACACCATCCTCACTCACAACACTCTACTACACACACACACACACACACACACACACACACACACACTCTCTCTCTACTCACACACACACACACACTCTCTCTCTCACACTCACACACTCACACACTCTCTCTCACTCACACACACACACACTCACTCTCTCACTCACACTCTCTCTCTACTACACACACACTCTCTCTCTCTCTCTCACACACACACACTCTCTCTCTCTCTCTCTCACACACACACTCTCACACACACACACACTCTCTCTCTCTCATCACACACACACTACTCTCACACACACACACACTCTCTACACTCTATCCTCTCACACACACCTCTCTCACATCTCTCACACACACACACTCTCTACTCTCTCTCTCACACACACACACTCTCTCTCTCTCTCTCTCCACACACATCTCACTTCTCTCTCAACACACATCACACACATCTCTTACACACACACACACACACACTCTCTCACACACACTCTCTCACACACACACACTCTCACACACACACACTCTCTCACTACTCTCTCTCACACACACACACTCTCTCACTCTCTCTCTCACACACACACACTCTCTCTCTCTCTCTCTCACACACACTCTCTCTCTCTCTCTCTACACACACACACTCTCTCTCTCTCTCTCTACACACACTCTCTCTCTCTCTCTCTCTCTCTCTCTCTCTCTCACACACACACACACACACTCTCTCTCTCTCTCTCTACACACACACACACACACACTCTCTCTCTCACACACTCTCTCTCACACACACACACACCTCTCTCTCTCTCTCTACACACACACACACACACACACACACACACACACACACACACACACACACACTCTCACTCTCTCGCGCGCGCACGCGCACGCGCTCTTTCTCTCTGGCTGCCTCGCGCTGGACACAGCCGTTAGCCTGTAGCTAACGCAGAGCTCGCTCACCTTTCTGTGACCTCAGGCTGACGTATTTCCGGAGCTTCTTCATGGCTCGGGTCCGGACGGGTTTCTCGTTGGAGGCTAACCTCTGCGCGAGCTGCACCTCTGCCTGCTGATCCGCCATCGTGCTCCTGTCTGACCGGCTCACGTGGACCCTCCGCTCTGCCGCTTCCCACGTTTCTATCTCCGGCGCGTGATGATGACGTCGGGCGCGTGTTTTGTATCAACTTTATTACAACCAGAGCAGCTGAAACGTTTTTAGCTTTTTCTGTCTGCGCTAAAAAAACAAAAGTAAAATAATAAAAACGATAAAAACATCAGCGGATCATTTTGCAGTCCCCAAAAACTATAAAACAATGAAAAGTAAAATAAAAGCAAATTAAAACAAGAATAATAATATTAATAATAATAAAACGCAAACAACAGCAGGGGCGGATCCACAAGGGTGGCATGTGTGTCACCCTGAAATGATCTCTTGCCACCCCTAATGCCTAGTTCTGCATATGACAGTGTTTTTATTAAAATAAGATGCAGCCACACTGAGTCTCAGCCAGTGTCGAATTTTAATGGCAGGCCACTAAGTCCAGTTATGAATACATACATATATATATATATATATTCATACGGGCTACACAGCACATAGAGTAAAACTTTTTAGGTGGACATTTGAGCTGCATCTGAGGAGCTGAGCTGTGGTGTTTCATGTGATGACAGGACAGAAATGTCAAAGTTCACTTTCAGAAAGCGCTCACAGACGTTTCCACGTTAGTCTGTTGAGCAGAGACAGAGGAGCTGCAGGTCTCACGGAGACGAATCCTGCAGGTCGAATACAGGGACGAACCACCAGGAGGCAGCAGCACGCTGACACATGCATGAACAGAAGACACTGACAACAACAGGAAGCGTCGGCAAGACTCGAAAACTGTCGACTGAAGATTGATATTTAAATACTGTATATTAAAAAGAAAAAGTACTAAAACAGCAACACAGACAAAACATGTAAACATAAACTTGTGCTTAACCTCTGTGACCTTTGAACCTGTGAGACCGTCCCAATGCAGAATAAATCACGCGTGACGGAGTTTCCTGTTATCTTCTGAGCTCGTCACAGAAACTGGTTTCATCATTTATATGAACATCACATACATATATGAATGATGATATTGTTGATTTATTGATGTGCATATCACTTTAATGCTGCAGCTGTTGATGGTTTTAATCACCTATCTACTGCTGGCCATCCCGATCTGTATAAACAAGCTTAATTTAAGTAACTAAAACTTGGAAGACAACAAAAACTAAAGTACTTTACTTGTACTCTATTGCAGTAGAAGTGACGATTGGTCCTGGTTTTTGATTCTCAGAATAATCCTTCTATCTCTGATTCTGGCCTCAGCGCAGGGTCAACCCCTCACTTCATCGTCCGTCGTAAACTGGCTGATTTAGCTTCTCCTTTAGGTTTGAACAGCAGGGGTCTTCCTCCTTTCTATTATATCATCCAGATCCATCCCGTGTTTCCAGCAGCCCGAGCTCTGGGCTCACAGGATTATTGTACATACAACGAGGTTATTATTACAAACTTGGGTCATGTTTAATCAGAACATCTCCCACAGGAACAGGAAACGCATGACTGGAAATATGGAAGAAAAACGAAGCAGGTCCAGGTAAAGGGAAACACAGCTAGCTGAAATGAAGCGGAATGACCCTTTAAGCTGGCATTTCAGCTCAGCAGATAAAGAGGAAATATCCGTCTCTGCGTCGAGCTTCTCACCTTCATATAAATTAAAATATTCAGCTTTTTAAAAGAATTTATTCAATGTGTAATTTATACATCAATCAGCAAATGAGCTAAAACATAAATAACTGGAAATAACATTTCAAAACACAAACATGCAAAATATTTTCAGTGAAAAAACTGTCAGAAAAAAATATCCACAAATATGAACAATTGTAATAAATAGAGTAAAAAATGCCCAGAGTGTCAGAAAACATCATATTTAATGAAACGTGACGACTGAATGAAACACAAGTGTAAAAACAAACTGCTGAACAAAGCAGAGAAAAACACTTGAACATGTGGAGAGCTGATGGGACGGACACCTCCACCTCCTACGATAACTGTCTCTGACGTCTGTCCACCGACAGACCAGAGACGCAGACGGGCGGGACAGGAAGCAGCGGCGTGCTGCTCTGTTTGATGATCGACTGAACCCAGTGACATGAAACGGGTTCCCTCAGAGTCTCTGAGGGAACCCGCAGGGTCCCATCTCAGGCCTCGTTTCATTTTTGTATATATGTTTTTGTATAAATAACATTGCGAGAACATGTTTCCGGTTAAAGGCGCCTTTATGCAGACGACACGGTGCTGAGATGTGTCTCAGCTGCAGGAGTCACTGGAGGTTTTTCAGTAAGCGCTCCGAGATCTCTCAGCGTTGGTGTTTTCCTTTAGGAGGAGATATTCGTGTATCCGGGTGAATGATGCTCTTTTGTTTAGAGTGCTTATTGAGCACTTGGTGGAAAATCTGAAGAAGGCTGAGACCTGTCTGTTTTTAAGTTTCATTGTCTCAGTGATATGTTCACGTCCATGATTCAGGGAAACGGGAGGTTCTCTGAGTGTAATCAGCTGACTTAAAACTGGACAACTTTCATTTTTGAGTCATCTGATGATTCATTTCTGAGGTTTATGGCTCATACAGGGTCAGAGAGGCACTGTCCTCGTCAGCAGAGCTTAATGTGACTCGATGTCCAAACAGCATTTTGGATCTTTAATCTTTGGGGTTTTCATCGCTGGATTTAAATGATGTTCTCCTCGGGACGAACTCAGGATTCAGCTCACAGGAAGTTGAGTCCACTGAATGATCACATGAGCTCAGAGGAGTCTCTCCAGGATGGTTTCACTCAGTAGTTCCTCAGTTTGAACACCTTGCTGAGCCTGGACTTGGCGCTGGAGTAGATGAGGAAGGAGCCTTCGTCCGTGCTGAAGTCCTCCCAGTCTCTGCAGCCGAACGTGGGCAGGCTGTGGACAGGAACGAAGCCCTCGTAACCCTGCCACCTAAAATCACACACAGAGGTCACCTGAGCTCAGGAAACACGTCACACCTGAGCAGATGAGCACTTACGCACCTGTAGACAACGCTGTTCAAAGAGTACGAGCCGCCGTCGTGAGAGTTCGCCACCACCAGGAACTTTTCATCTCCGATGGTGAAAAACTCCCAGTCCAGCGCACTGAACACACGAAGGAGGAGAACAAGACGACACACTGTGAAGAGCAGCTGTTTCTGGGATTTTTACAATGAACCTCTTCTTTAAAATATATTTACGTTTTCAGGTCTTAAATTAACTGAAGAAAGTCCCGAAAAACAAAGAAAAAAAAGATAACATGTTTCTACAGCTAAGCTTAGAAATCCCCAAAAATGTCCAAAAAATGACTGTTACAGTTCAAAAATAATAAAAAAAATAAAGTGGAAAAGAAAGGTGAGCAATATCCTCACAAAATATTATGAAGTATAATAAATATAAATTAACACACATGTGCACATGAATTAATATAAATATAATAATATGTATTAAAAAATTATGTTAATAATATTTACGAATATTTATGGAATAATAAATAAATATAAAATAAAATATCCAAAAATTAAAAACTAACAAAATCATCAAAAAGTGATAATAAAAAAGAACGAATAATGCAAATATAAATAATTTAATAAAGATCTAAAATACTATGAACAAAATGTTGAAAAGTTATTAAAATGTGTCTTTTAATAAAATGTAAAAGATCTCAAACGAATGAATAAAATTCCAAATGAAACCTTAAACAAACATCAGGCTTCTCGGTGCTGATGGCTTCCTTTTAATTATCAGCAACGTTTCCACAGTGACTTTGAAATAAATGTTATTCAGCCTTTAATCTTTGTGCTGCTCCTTTAATCTGCAGGTAAAAGCAGGAAGTGTATCTGAAGACATGTTAAATGAGCCCAGGTGTGACGCTCACCTGTGTGTGAGGATGTCCTGGAAGCGGATGAAGGTCTGTGTGAGCGCGTTCAGTTCGTACACGGTGGAGTTGATGCTGTAGACACTCGTGCCACGATCAGGGATCTTCTGACTGTTGGCGACGGCGAGGAAAAACCTGCCGTCGATCTGAAACGGCTCCCAGTCTGTCGCTCCGACTGTCTGCGGAAAGAAGGGGACACTCAGAGAACCAGGGTACGAAGGGTAACCCTCTCATAATCCTACACTTGGTGGGAGGGGCTTTGACTGCAGGAGTCCCTTCAACGCTGCTTTTAGTGGAGAAAGAAGAACTTCTCCTTGGCATGGTGGATGCTGATTGGCTAAACTTGGAGAAAACAACCACAACACGCTCTGTTTTCAAAACTCACAGAAGCCAGAGGAGATGGAAAACAACACGCAAGAACCAGAGTGACGCTAAAGCTGAGTGCAAGCAGACCCAGCTGCCTGATCGTCAGGAGGTAACCGGAGCATCATGGCCTCCGTGTCTACCTGGATCCCTGTGTGATCGGACTGGGCTGGTTTTCACTCCCTCTGCTTAAACGGTAAAGGAAACTGGGTCTGTGTCCTCGGCAGGAGACGGATGTGTGACAGCCTCAGATTTATAACGTTAACTGGTGACAGTGTGAACACACAGCTCACGTCATTAGGATGAGAAATGAGTCCATCAGAGGAACAGCTGAGAGTCAGAGGCTGAGGCGGTTTGGACACGTGCAGAGGAGGAAGAGTGGATATACGGGACGAGGATGATGAAGCTGCTGGGCAGGAGGAGAAGAGGAAAATCTGCACTGCAAAGAAGCTTAGCGCACACTGCTGTTAGGGTTAGATGAAGATTCCAGCTCATGTGCAGTAAGTGTGACCAGGATCAGTCACAGGGAAAAGCATCAGTTGAAAGTAGGTGTTTTCATCCCTGCTGCCTCCACTCGGGTGGGTGAACAAGTGTGTTTGCATGAATGTCAGACGTATGTGGGAAAGAAGAACTCGTCTGACTGCGAGGATGAGCCTTCTATCATTTAAAACACCAATGAGCACTGTGTAATCTATTACTTTGAATAGAGTAACGACTCCATCACTGCTTGTGAGCGTTGGGCTCACTGTACACACTGATCCATCCATTTTCTTCCACTTATCCACGGCAGCAGCCCAAGCAGAGAAGCCCAGACCTCCCTCTCCCCAGCCACCTCCTCCAGCTTGTGCCAGGGAACACCACGGTGTTCCCAGGCCAGCCGAGAGATATAATCTCTCCAGCGTGTCCTGGGTCTGCCCCGGGGCCTCACCCAGGAGGCGTCCTTGTCAGATGTTCAAACCACCTCGACTGACTGCTTTCGATGTGAAGGAGCAGCGGCTTAACTCTGAGCCCCTCCCTCTCTAAGGGCGAGGCCAGCCACCCTTCAGAGGAAGCCCATCTCAGGCCGGGCCCGGGGAGCGTCTGGTGGACTTTGGGATTCACTGACACATCACAATGAACTAAGGAGGCAGCTTTTAAATGAAGTCATAATTCAGTGCTTTATGCGTTACTGTGAGACTATGAAACGCTCTGCTTCGTGCTGCCTGTGTGCAGCGGCTCGTGCAGCCTGCAGGGGGAGCTGGCGAGGTCTGGCTGGGTCTGATTGGAGCTATTTGCGGCTCCATTAGTCGTGTTGATGTCTGAGCAGTTTAATGCGTGCTGTGCCGGCTGTCAGCAGCTGAATTACAGGTTCAGGTGGTTTCATGATGCTTTAACATGTTTTTGTGGTTTTCAGAAGCAATAAAAGTCTTCTTCAGCGCAGCTGGAAACCCCCTCGCACACACACATTAATTACACTGCTCTGGTTTCCTGTTTCATCTTTGACATCAACAGACTGAAAAACATATTTTCATCAGCGTAAGATGATTTTTATGACCTGCTTTCATGTGCACATCTGTCACCACATTAATGTTTTAAACAAGCAGCTGCGTCTGTGCAGGCATCGCTGTTTGCCAGGCTGCAGGTACACATCACCACCTTCACCCTGAAACCCCACACACTGACTTTAATAAGACCGTTATCTTTGGTTGTTGTCACTGCAGGAGCGAATGATGCGACGGGTTCTGGGGAGGAGGAGCTAAAACAACTCAGAGCGGGGTCGAGAGTAATGGCAGCAGGTAGGTGTGAGAGTAAGTCAGCTCCAGGTGAACCTGAGATCACGCTAACAACACTGAAGCTCCAAGACCCTGCAGATATTAGGGGCGGGGCCTGTTTGACCGACCGGTGGATGGCGACACAGGCGGCTGTAGCTGCTAGCTTCACCTGAACTGGACCTCTGCACCGTGTTGACATCATGTGACCAGTAACATGGCTGTACTAACAGACCGTCCAGGAAGGCGGAGCGGCAGTTTGGTGAGAGAAATTTGAGCATTTTGATTGGATGTTAGCTGATTACTCACACTCTTCCAAATATGGTAAATTTTTCCAAAAAATAGCTAAATGAGGCTAAAACGGAGGCTTCAGAGAGCGTGATGTCACAATGGATACATCCACCATAATCCAGAGTACGCGAGGTGAGGACGATCCAAACACCCTGCAACGCGCTCCTGTGATCCGGGATCAACGACGACCAAAAAAACACTGAAGCTCAGAAATTAAGGGGCAAAAACACAGAAATATCAAGTGTGGCTGGAAAACAGCGTTTACCTGCAGAGGCACACCTGCACCAATCAGAGCCCGGCTGAGAGCAAGGTGTTTCCCTGAAGCTGTGAGTCAGCGTGGTATTTTTACCAGCCTGTGATTTGCGGTCGGGCAGCGTCACGCCGCTGCTGTTATCATGTGACTCACTGACAACATCCTCATTGTCATGTCTGCTCTGACATCTGCCAGGACTCACCTGGACTGGTAAGCAGCACCGCCCCAGCTAAAAACATCCTGAGGGGGGCGCTGTCCCGAGTTCATCCTCTGAAGAGGACGCACAAGATGAAACAATCCTGTGAGAATAAATGTGAGCGGACATGTTTCACTGTCCGCGAGTTCAGTGTCACAATAAAATAATCCTTTAAAGTTTGGCTCATATCGCTGAGTTTCAATATGTAGGATGATTAAACGATCCCAGATAATAAAAAAAGTTTAATTCATCAATGAAAAAGATCATTATGTGACAGAACTTAATAGATATGAGAAAAAATATCTTTCTTCTGAAATGTTTGTCATAAATCATTCATGTGCGAAGAAGCTACGTCTGTCACGTGTCCAGGTCTGCCAGACAGGAGACGCAGCATCTCAGGACTTCCTGCTTCATTAAAAATAGAAATAAAAATAAAGTCTCATTTTTAAATGTTCTTGTCTGTAATTCTATCAAATAAAACAATCTACAGTTATACTGATAATCTCCATAATCAATCAGATCTATGTTTCTCATGTTCATCACCTTGACCTGCTGACAGGTCCTGCAGATTTAACAACTCAATCTTAGTAATCGGTGCATTTACTCGAATCCTGGGAGTTAAGAATAAAGAGATCGGTGGGGCTGTTCTCACAGCTGTTACAAT